TGGGTTGTTTCCAGCTCTTTGCTATTGTGAACAAAGCTGCCATAAACATGGGTGTGCATATATCTGCTTGGGGAACAGTGACGGTTTCTTTAGGCTAAATTCCCAGTAGTGGAATTGCTCGGTCAAATGGTATTTCTATTTGCAACTTTCTGAGAAAGTGCCATACTGCCTTCCATAGTGGTTGCACCATTTTACATTCCCACCAACAGTGAATAAGCGTTCCAGTTTCTCCACAACCTCGCCAGCTTTTTATGTTTGTTCTGTTAAATTTTGGTATTATGACTGGGGTGAGATGATATCTCATAGTTGTTTTGATTTGCATCTCTCTTAAAGCTAGGGATTTTGAACATTTCTTCATGTACTTGTTGGCCATCTGAATGTCTTTGGTGAAGTGTCTGTTCATATCTGTGCCCATTTTTCAACTGGGTTATTTACCTTTATCTTGTTGTGATAGCACATCAATATATTTCTTATGGATCACTGTCTCTTGGGTATTTGCTCTCTTAATGGCTTCCGTTGTTTCTTCCATCATTTGTACCTTCTTCTGGAACTGTTTAAATAACTCCACATCAACATATTTCTTATGTTGTTTATCTGTTTGTGGTATTCATTGTATCTACTTTTTTATGAGAAATGTTAATTTATTTTTTTTTTCATGATGACTGAGACAGACTGCTGCTTTCTTAACATCATGTGAGTCTTTTCTTACTAGATAATAGCTTTTTGTAACTAAATAATGTCATGGGATATGATAATGTTTTCTGAAGAACCTGCATATCGTTGCTCCCCTCTTGTCTCCTGAAAGAAGAGGACTATTGCCCTCCAGAAACCATCGCTCCACCCGTCCTCTTTCACTTGACTTTAAGAATTTCCACATGGTGTAGCTGGTCAGCATAGGTCAAGGCCAAAGTACCTGTTTTCTCTACTCTATTAGACAGTTCAGTTGCAGGTCCTTGACCTCATTCTTATACTAGTTACAGGTGTTGTCTTGACAGGATTTTGCATATTGGTGATCTCTTGTGCAGCAGAGGGAAGGCATGGGTGTTGCTCCCTCCAAGGGAGGTAGACTGATATCTCAGCAGGGCCTCCCCTGTTCGCTGGAGTTGAGGGGAGGAGGTGTTTATCACTTAGTAACCTGAAAGGCAAATGGGCAAAAAAAATTATTTTCTTTTTTTTTTAAAGAGTTCTTCCCCGTTTAAATGTGTTTTTCTGTAAATTATTAATTTGAAAGAAACCTTATGGGTTGATTTGTGTTTTTTTTTTAATTTTTATTAAATTTTATTCATTTTAATGAACATTTACAGAGATTTTGGATTTCCATTCATTCATTGTTGCACTATTTTCTCTACCCCCAGTTCGTTCCTCTTTATTTTCCCCCTTGAAAGTCCCATTGCCACAGTGCTTGTCAAAGCCAGTTCTGATTAATCTCCTTTGTCAGTGTGTCCTTTGCCATTCCCTGTCACTCCTCCCTGAGAGAGACTTCACCCTGATTCATAAGGAAAAGGGGATGGCATATTCTCTTAGCTACTTCCTGCTGAAAAGGGACGCTGTAGGTTTCAGGGTGAAGATCTTCTCTTATTACTCTAAAGGGCTCCTTTGGCAATAGAAAACACGTAGACTATTGTGGAGATTGGTTCTGGAATTTAGATGAACTGTTATCAATTGTGCTTAGCCATACATGTTCATATCCTTAAAGATGTATCATGGAACTGTTGCAGCCTAAAAGACACAAATTTAACTAACAAGTTAAAAGTACATGAGTCAGAAATTAAAAGCAATAATATTCCAAGTAGAGGTTCTAACAGTGGCACAAATCAAGTTACAGAGGGAAGGTAGTTCTTAAAATAAAAGGCTTATTGACTAGCACTTTGTCTCTTATAGTATAAAGGTTAGGAACCACAAGATGTCGAGGCTCAACTATGTCATTTATTGTTCTTAAGTCCTGGACCAAATTCCATCTACCACTGGGTTGTTTTACAGCTCGGAAGTCCGCATGCAAGGCAGAGGTGAAGTAAGGAACTGCTTATGAGGTTTTCCATCAATTCCAACAACTTAGAAATAGTGAGAAGAGTTGGGACCGCAGAAGGCTTTTAGGATCAAATAGTAGGCTCTTGTGTCCAGGAGAAAACGAATAAACTTACCAGTAATGTTAATACTCACCCACAGCTCTTCTGGGAGGATCTAAATCGTTGAAGCATCCTCCTTTGTTTCCAGCTGGGAGCTGGGGTCTATCAGTCCTGTCAGTCACAAAGACCTGGTGTGGGCAGCCCTTGGCCATGTGTCCTTCTGATCCACACTTAAAGCAAGTGAGTGGGAGCTTTCTCTCTACTCGCTGCCTATTTGTGGCTCTCGTCTGTGACACTGTCTACTAAAGTGGCCCGGCTTTCCACAGTGGAAGCAAATCTAACCTCCTTTATTACCTTTGGGTGGCATTGTTTATGAGTAAGATTTCCTTTTCCTGACACAGGCCCTAAACTGGCAGCAAACGCTGCCCCAATAATTTTTTTTAAATCACTTACTTCATTCTAATCAATTAAAAATTAAACTTGTAGAGAATTTTAAAATAATGAATTCTCATCTGTGACTTCAAGATAGAGTACATATTCTGGATTAGCATAGTTTTCATGAAAATGTTTGTAAACAGGGATATTAGCAGGAATGTACCACAATATCTCTGATGTAGTTTAACAGTCTGTGTGTGAGAGAGAGTGTGTGTACACGCACGCATGCACGTGCACACATGCACAACCATGCACGTCTCCATCTATATGCAGACTTCTCAGTTACACTCAGTCCTTCATAGAAACTTAGCCTTCCTCTTACTCCATATTCTTTTTTTTTTAGAATTAATTTCAATGAACATTTACAGAGGATTTGGATTTCCATTCTTTCATTGTTGCACTTTTCTCCCCGCCCACCCTGCCCTATCTGCAGTTCGCTCTTCTCTTTGAAAAGTAATAGAAAAATTCCTTCATTGGTGTACAATCCCCACCCCCCACCCCACCCCCGCTCTGAGTATACTCCACTCTGTGACCTTCATTCTGGACTCTTATGATAATCATGATGCCCTAAAACATATTGCTTTTAAACTGTTCTCCCCCTCATCGGTTTCAGTGCAGTATACATAATTCATCCAGTTTTTCTCATTCTTACCCTAACCCTGATGTCAGTCCCATTCTACAGCAGTGACACTATGCAGTGTTTGTCTTTTTGTGACTAAGATATTTCACTCAGCATAATGTCCTCCAGGGTCACCCATTTTGGATAATATTGCTTGAGTTCCTTGTTTTTTAATGCAGCATAGTATTCCGTTGTGTGAATATACCACAGCTTCTCTATCCATTCATTTGTTGATGGGCACTTAGGTTGTTTCCAACTCCTTGCTATTGTGAATAAAGCCACAATAAACATGTCTGCTTGGATTGTGGTTATGGCTCTTTAGGGTATATTCCCAGTAGTGGAATTTCTGGGTCAAATGGTATTTCTATTTGCAACTTTTTGAGAAAGCGCCACACCACTTTCCACAGTGGTTGCACCATTTTACACTCCCACCAACAGTGAATAGGGTTCCAGTCTCTCTACAACCTCGCCAGCATTTGTTGTTTGCTGTGCTCCATATTCCTTTAAATATGGTGCATTGTTGTTACTTTTTCATTAATAAGACTTGATTTTCAGAGCCATTTCTAGTTTAACAAAAATTAAGCATAACATTCCGAAAGTTCTGAAATTTCCCCTCTCCTCAGATGCATGTGCGTTCTCCTGCTATTAGCATCATTCTGTAATGCATTTGGTAGTATTACTAAACCAGTTTTTCTGCAATATTATAATTAGCTTATATCTTCATAGTTTACATTATAAGTTGGCTGTTTGTGTTGCACAGATTTTGATAATTGTATTTTTGTGTATGCCCATCATTCTTTATGACACTGAACTCCTGAAACCTTTGTTTCGTCACTATCATTTTGACCCTTCCCGATGGTTATATGCAGTAAAATCTGTTAAAGTTGAAATCTGTATAAGGTAAAAATTATCAGAGTAAGAAAATGCAAATATTTTCCACTAAAGGTAGTGATACAAAGTGGCAAAAAAATTGTGAGAGCTAGAAAAACAAGAGTTTTTGAGTTCTTATCTCACAGTTTTCACAGTAGTTGGAACCATACATTATGTAGTCTTTTCCAGTCCAATTTCTTTTCCTTAGCCATAAGGGCTTAAGGTTCCTCCACATCTTTTTGTAATTTGATACTTAATTTCTTGACATCACTGAAGTATGCTCTCATCAGATAGATACACCACAGTCAAGTCATTATTGAAAGACTTCTTTTGGCAATTGCAAATCAAGCTCCTATAAGCAGATATTTGTAGGGTTTTGTTTGGTCATATTTGTTTATCTCATTTGCATAGGAATTTTGTTACTGGATCATAAGAGGCTGGATTTAACCTTCTGTGTGAAATGAGACATACAATGCCACCTACCATTCCCACCTCCCAAGTTTCCTGGGAAGCTGTATTCTACTGTTAGGCTGTGCTGTCATCTGACCAGTGCACATATAACTTCATCAATCTAAAGAACAAGGGTCATCCAACCAGCACCACTTAGGTCATAGACATCACACTCAGTTTTGAGGATTGTGTACTGTTGAGTTGGAATAAACCCATAGCTGACCCTCTGGTGGGTTTTCAGTCGCAGTTAATCCCACAGGAGGAAATTTCCCATCCCTCTCCCTTGAAGCCATGTGCCTTCGGAATTACAGTGCAGCTTCTTGCCAGTAGGCCACGAGAACTCTCACTAATGGTATCTAAATCCACATTACCAAAAAAAATCCATATTACCTTAAAAACATACTTCTATTTAATTAAAAATACCTTTCATTACACATTGTCTTAACAAAAATATCAAAGCCAAAAATAATTCAGTCTTACAAGGATTAAGAAATGTAACGTTGGGGATATCTAAACACCTCCCAATGCATTTATGAGCAATGTGTGTGTGATTCTACCAGGGACGACTATCATGAGGATGGATTCTGCCAGCCTTACCGGGGCATTGCTTGTGCACGCTTCATTGGGAACCAGACCATCTTTGTGGACTCTCTCCAGATGCAGGGGGAGATCGAGAACCGGATAACAGGTGGGAATTGCATGTGTTTGCTGTGAAACCACGAGTGTTTTCGCAGCCTACCTGTCAGCCCATGAAGGACCTGCCTTTTTTTTTTTAGTTAGTAGCATTGTCTGTCATAATGCACTAGTTCAGTGCATGTCTTTCACTCTTGCAAAAAAGAAAATTAGAGTCGTTTTTGGAAAGCTGTTGCCATTTCTAGTTTGTTCTAAACTGTTCTCAGCATTTTTTTGTTTTGTTTAAATGTAAAAATGCAACACTTAATTTGGCCAAACAGTGTGAATCCTTAAGTAATAGGACTATGTGTTAATCACACAGCACTTAATTTGGCCAATCTGCATGTTGTCCAGATGCCCTCCTAGGGTCAGTTCCCTATGACATGTTTGTTAAGGTACAGTGATTTACAAATGCTTGAACCAAATATTCTAAAACCCATGGAGTGTTTCCTCAGCAGCACAGTATACACTCACCTTCAGTCCTCACTTTTCCATGGAACGCAGCCAGGTGTTCATTTATATTCATAGCTTGAAAATGGTAGCAAGCATGTATGAGGTGGAACTGCTCACCCACGACCTCTCCAGAACCTCCTGGTTGTTAGCTTCTGTAGGGAAGGCCATTGATAAATAAGAAAATCCATACTCTCCCAAAACATACACAGTTTTCTCTGATGATCCCATAAAGAACAAAAAAATATTGTGAGGACACCAGACCTTCCAGCAATGCAGATCAAGGGGATTCTCCACATGATAGCTCCCTACTTTGCATATTTTAAACCCTTGATTGGTGCTGGTGTTGTTGTGCCATCGAGTTGCCTGCGACTCACAGCGACCCTATGTACAACAGCCCTAAACCTTGCTCTATCCTGTGTCAATCTCATTGAGGGTAGCCTCATTACCCCAGCCACTGAATCAGTCCATCTCATTGAGGGTCTTCCTCTCTTGTGCTGTCCCTCCACCCTCCCAATCATGACATCCCTCTCCAAGGACTGGTCCCACCTTACAACACGTTCAGAGTATTCAGATGAAGTGTCTGAATCCTTGCCTCCAAGGAGCAGCCTGGAATCACCCTCTCTAGGACAAAGTTATTTGTTCTCCAAGCAGTCCATGCTCTACAGTCAATACTCTTCTGCAGCAGTACAGCTCAAAGGCATTGATGTTCCTTCTATCATCCCTAGTCATTGTCCAGTTTTCTGATGCATAGCAAGTAATTGCAAAGACTGTGGCCTGGATCAGGTGCACCTTGGTCTCCAGACTGACATCATTGCTCTTCAGCACTTTGGAGAGATCTCTCACAATGGACTTTCCAAATGCCATTCTTTTTATTCCCTGGCCACTGGTGCCATTAGTACCGAGAATGTTGATTGTGGAGCCAAGTAAACTAAAGCTGTTAACAATCTCAATCTCTTCACCATCTATAGTTATGCTGCCAGTTGGCCAAGTGGTGACAACCTTTGTTTTCTTGATGTTGAGCTTCAATCCATATTGAAGGCTGCAGTCCTTGACCTTCTGCAGCAAGCGCTTCAGGTCCTCCTCAGTTCCAGCAAGCAGGGTTGTGTCGTCTGCATAAAGCAAACTGTTTAGTCTTCCTCCAATCTTGATGACACATTTTTCTTCATAGAGCCCAGTCTCCCATATAATCTGTTAAGCATATAGATTAAAAACATATAGAGACAGGACACATCGCTGGCGTACACCCTTCCCAATTTTGAACCATGCAATGTTTCCTTGCTCTGCTCTGAAGATTGCCTGGTCCAAGCATAGGTTCAATGAAGTTTTCCCATTCTTTTCAGAGTCAGCCACAGTTTGTTGTGATCCACACAGTCAAATGCCTTTGCATAGTCAATGAAACACAGACAGGCATTCCTCTGGTATTCCCTACTTTCAGCCAAGATCCATCTAACATTAGCTATAATATCCCTAGTACCACAGCTTCTAAACCTAGACTGCACTTCAAGCAATTTTCCGTTGATGTACTGTTCCAGGCATTTTTGGATAACGTTCAGCAGAATCTTGCTTGCGTGTGCTTTCCCCTGATTAGCTTACAAAAGTTCTGTTATTATGGCTCCTTAAGGGAGATCTTGGTGGGTTAGGAAGAACTGCAACAGGCTGGCTAGCGAGTGGATAAGAAGAAGACATGCAGATGGCCAACAAGCACATGAAGAAATGTTCAAAATCCCTAGCTCTAAGAGAGATGCAAATCAAAACAACTATGAGTTATCATCTTACCCCAGTAAGACTAGCAAAATTTAACAGAACAGCAAACAACAAATGCTGGCAAGGTTGTGGGGAAACTGGAACCCTTATTCACTGTTGGTGGGAGTGTAAAATGGTGCAACCACTATGGAAAGTGGTGTGGCGCTCTCTCAAAAAGTTGCAAAAAGAGATACCATTTGACCCAGAAATTCCACTACTGGGAGTATACCCTAAAGAGACCATAACCACAATCCAAGCAGACAGGTTTATCGCGGCTTTATTCACAATAGCAAGGAGTTGGAAACAACCTAAGTGCCCATCAACAAATGAATGGATAGAGAAGCTGTAGTATATTCACACAATGGAATACTACACTGCATTGAAAAACAAGGAACTCATGCAATATTATTCAGAATGGGTGACCCTGGAGGACATTATGCTGGGTGAAATATCACAGTCACAAAAGGACAAATACTGTATGGTGCCACTGTTGTAGAGTGAGGCTGACATCAAGGTGGGAGTAAGACTGAGAAAAACTGCATAAATTATGTATAGTGCATTGAAGCTAATGAGGGAGAGAACAGTTTAAAAGTAACATATTTTACAGCATTATGATTATCATAAGAGTTTGGAATGAGGGTTGCAGAGTGGAGTATACTCAGGGTGAGGGTGCGGGGGGGATTGTATACCAATGAAGGAGTTTTTCTCTTGCTTTTCAAGGAGAAGAGTTAACTGGGGGGGGGGGCGGGGAGAAAAGTGTAACAATGAATGAATGGCAATCCAAAATCTCTGTAAGTGTTCATTGAAATTAGTTTAAAAAAAAAAGAGAAGAAAAAAGAATGAAGCCTCTCATTAGAAACTCACTCAGGCACCACAGAAAGGCTCTTCTAAGTTAAGGTCAGTGTCGCAGAAGGATCTTTCTGACATATGCTGAAATGGGCCCCTGCACAGTCCAGGCAGAATGAAAAGGGTGCTATCGGGACCAAAAAGGGAACATCTTCATCTGTGGCAAAAGGTTTGGAAGATGTTAGTGTCTTTCAGTGGAGAAGCCTTGAATTCCATTTAAAACAGGACTTCTCAACTTTTTTTTTACCTCAGTATGCTGTAAAAAGTCTACTTTATATCATGACTTAG